CCCTTCAGGGTTCAGGGTTTAGGGTAGTGTATTGTTTAGGCAAAGTCCAGGAGATTATCAAGCACTATATCGCCTTTGTCAACTCGCCTGCAAAGCTTCTCAAACCCCAAATGCTAAACCCTAAACCCCAGCCCTGGATTAAATCCTAGCTCCTAACTTCTGAGGCAAGGGCGCCAAAGTTCCGCATCGAGCTGCCCGGATTTCCCATCCTCGGCCACGGGAAGAGCGACAACCAGAACTGTGCGGTGATCTTTACCAGGAGGGTTTAGGGTTTAGGTTTGGAGTTTAGGGTCGCATTGTGCCTATGACGTGCATCTTAACTTCTGGGCTTTTGTTAAAGTGTTGTATAGGGTCGCGTAGGGGTGAGTTTTATAGGGTCGAGGGCTTGGGATTTCGGCCGAAGGTTGTGCGGGTTTCAGGTTTTCGGGGTTTGCGTCAGGGCTTGAACCGGCACTTACCCAGATCTTCCAATATCCCCCAATTAGGAATATACCTTCAAATATAGCAGGATCCCTAATATGGTTTAACTCAACTAATAACGATGATTCCTTAAGTAAGGGATACTGGATGGTCTGGGTAGAATCTCAGGTTTGCATGTTTGCGGCTTGCCATGTTTACTTAAGTGGACGGTACCTTATAATATCGGTAACAACATGCAGATTCAACGATTGTTCCGTATAGTTCCCCATAGGGCCCAAACCGATAACTGTCGTTCCCTGCATCAAGGCCTACCAGGGTCGATCCCCCACCTTGAACCCTGGAGTGTAGCCGCGGTAAACGCAGGCCTCATGCTACGGTTTAGGGTCTAGGTTTTAGGGTTTACGGTCCCTCCACCCAAAATCGTGCGTATGGCTAGGTAACTTTTTTTGGGAGTATATGTTTATACTACACCAACTTGGACCATTAGGTTTATAGAACCTCGACCATAAAACCGCGCTAGAACTTCCATAGTCCTCTGCGCCCCTAAACCCTAAACCCTATAAACCCTAAACCCTACACCCTATATGAACTTCACCCGCCGAACCCCTAGGAGGCTAGTGCACTTACAACCCTAAACCCTAAACCCTATAGACCCTATAAGCCCCAAACCCTAACCCTAAACCCTGGTGCACCTATTAAAGCCCCTCAACCCCTATCAAGCCCGAAAGCTGACAGGCCTAAATCCTGAAGCCCTAAGCCACGGGTAAGGGTTTAGGGTTTGGGGTGTAGGCTTGAGGGTTTAGGGTTTAGGGTTTAGGGCCAAAGCCCTAACATAACCCCACCCAGAAGCCGTCAAAGACCTACTCTTTGAGCCTATCGAACTTTAGAGAAAAGGTTTTTAGGGGGATGTTATGCTGTAGGGTCCCGTTTAGGATCCTTTTTATAAGGAGGCAGTATTATTTTGGGAGGGACCCCCCAATTTAGAGATGTAGTCAGAATAATGAATGCTACGGAATAATGAGTATCCGCGACCCTAAATCCTAGTTATCCTGGCGGCCATCAGGGGCGAAATCCTTCAGATGATCGATGCCAACCAGGAGGCCTACTACGAAGCCTCGTTACTGGCTTAAGAGTTTGGGTTCTCGATTTGGGGTTTAAGGATTTTGGGGTTTAAGGTTTTGGGGTTTAGGGTTCGGGATTCATCAAGGTTTTGGGGGTTAGGGTTTGGGGTTTGTCGTTTGAAGGGCTCTCAAGGCTTCAGCACGGTGTCTTTGAGTGTTCTATGATGAAGGGCCCACGGCTAGCAGCTGGGGGCTAGGAGTCAGTGGTTTAGCAAGCAAGGGGTTCGATACAGAAGTTAAGAAACCCTAAACCCGAAACCCTATTTTAAAAAAGCTAAGTGCTGTTTCAACCTGATGGGCCCGAGCCTGGTCAGAACCTTCTCAGGATACTACAGAACAGCAGCACCTATCAGAGGCAGTGTTGAGTGGCTGCCCATGCAGCCCTGGCCCAAAGTCCGGGCAACTGATTGGCCTGACATCACATAGTTTAGGGTGTGGGGTATAGGGTTTAGGGTTTAGGGTTTAGGGTTAGCACACGAGGTGTGAAGCAAAGGTACAGACGCCCTGTCCTTTGCGCTTTAGGTTCCCGGGCCCCCTGAACCATAAACCCCTGAACACCTACAACAACCTCCCTAAACCTAAACCCTAAACCCTAAACCCCTAAACCCTAAACTCTAAACCCTAACGTAGGAACCTGACTAAGACACCCTGGTCCCACACCCCCTTGTATGCTCGGATCCATATAAAGAGCCCTCATAAAGACGCAACGCTTTCTTAATAAGGTTCCTGTATCAAAACCTAAGCCCTAAACCCTTCCTAAACCCTAACCCCTAGATCCTAACCCCTAAACCCTAAACCTTAAACCCTAGACCCTAAACCCTAAAGCGTAACCCGAGGCCCTCCACCCAACACTTCTAGCACTCCGGTACCTGAGTAGCCCCTCGGGTGCCAGCCGAGGCTTTTTCTGCCTTCTGCGCTTCAGGAGTTTGGCATCTCCAAGCACTAAACCCTAAACTGGGCTTTGGGTTTAGGGTTTAGGGGTTTAGGGTTAAGGGTTTAGGGTTTAGGGTTCAGGGGTTCAGGGTTTAGGGTTTAGGGTTTAGGGTTTAGGGCTTTGGTGTACCATAGTTTAATACTTCTTTAGGGGGACCTGTTCCTTAAAGGAACCATTCTGAAATAAAAGTCTATACTTTTTTCTCCCTGGTTTCTTCGAAGCCCAGTAAACCCTCCACCTGCAGGGTTTGAGGCTTAGGGTTTGGGGTTGGGGGGGTTGGCCGTTGACGCTTTCGAGGTCGAAGCATCGGAGTTGATGACATGGCCGAGAGATTCTGTGGGTTTAGGCTTGGGGGTTTAGGGTAAAGTTTATAGATTTTGTATAAGGGTTTGTGTGCCAATAACGTTTTGAGCGGAACGTTTTGACGAAATGTTTTGAGCAGGTTTTCTAAACCCTAAACCCTAAACCCTAAACCCTAAACCCTAAACCCTCAACCCTAACCTTAGAAACCTGGTTTGGAAATGGTGGGCCGGGCGATGTGGCTGGGAGGCTGAGCTGAGCTAGGCCGGGCTGCTGGGCTGGGCTGCCGCGCAGCTTTTCGGCACGATGTCTGGCTGGGAGTCCAACTTGCCGCTGGCCTACCGTGGCCTTGTGCCTCCGCGGCTACTGCAGCCGGTCCCTTTGTGGCCGGAAGCGGAGTGGC